GAGGAGGAGGAGGAGGAGGAGGAGGAGGAGGAGGAGGACTGTAGGGTCCCTGATGCTCTCTGAGCTGGGTGGTTTTCTTGCAGATGTTTCATGACCCAACTAGGGAACGTCATCAGTGCTAGAAAGGAGGAGGGCTTGTGGAAAGGAAGAGGAGGAGGACAACGACAACGATGATGATGACAACGACAACGACAACGACTGTGGGGTCCTTGGTGCACTCCGAACTTGGTTTTCTTGCAGACATTTCATGACCCAACTAGGGAACGTCATCAGTGCTAGAAAGGTTTTGATCTCTGTTTACGGAAGTCTCCTTGGTGATTCCTTAATTAGGCTGTTGTTTACTGTTTAATTGTCTGAGTTGGTAGTTCCTGAATTGGAGTGATGTTTATAGCAAGGAACCTCCAAGTCCATTTCCACCAACACTAAAAGTGCAAATAACTAGTGTATAAACGGAGAGCAAAACCCCTTTTCCTTCTAGCACTGATCATGTTACAAGGTTGGGTAATGAAACGTCTGCATGCAAACAATCAAGCTCAGAAAGCATCAAGAACCCTACCATTTTCCTCCCCCTCCTCCTCCTCCTCCTCCTTCTTCCACTCCACAAACCACACCCCTTCTAGCACTGATGATGATACCTAGTTGGGTCATGAGACATCTGCAAGCAAACCACCCAGCTCAGAGAACTCCAAAGACATCTTAGCTGCTCGTTTTTGTCTTTTGATCTGATACACAATACGTTTCTTTGCAACTTTTCATCTCTTTCTTTTTCTCCCTCTCTCTTTCTCCGTCTGCGATCTTGCTTCATATACTACCTTTCAAATACTATTTGATACCTTCAGTTCCGTTTTCCCTCGTAAATCGAGCTTGTAGCCTTCTTTGAGGGCATGCAGGATCTCGACCGTGCGCAGGTTGACATGGATTCGATAAGCTGCAAAAATAACACACACCGACACGCACTTGGAAACGCCGAGTTTAAAAAGCACATCACAATTCAACCTACACAGGGTTCTGCAAAACGCAATTGCCAGGGTGGGCGCGAGGAGGTTCAGAAAAGCTGAGAGGGTGGCTGCAGTGTGCGTTGAAAGAAGCAGAGCTTAGATTGTGTCGTCTCAACCATCTCATTGTCAGTTTTTGCCCTCTCCTACAGACTTTCCTTGTTAGGTTCGAACGAACAGACTCGCACGTGTAGAGTTCAAACTAGCTACTTCACTGTTCTCTGCCTCTAGTACAGGAATCTCCTCAGAACGACAAGTTTCGCCTAGGGAAAAACTAGATAAAGGCATTCAGGAAGGGTCAGGCCTAGGCCTTTTGTGTTTACTTAAGGATTCCAGACTAGTTCCCTGCTTGATCGTCTCCTCCTGACTGGCTCGCCAACATTGCTGGAGGGGAAGCAAAGAACGTGACGATCTGCAACTCTCCACAGACAAAGATGCCGTGTTTGCAATAGTGGCAAATATCTGTAGCTCGGGTAGAGGATGAGGGTGGAGGTCTGTTCTCTGAGCTTGTGGGTTGGTTTCCGTATGTTTCGTTACCAGGCTAGGCCACATCTTCAGTGGTGTTTAGGGGACGTCTATGTCAGTGCTCTTCTATTTATAAGGGCTTCAGTTGTGGGAGTGTAAGTGAGGGTCTTGTGATGAGTCATCAGAGAGAGGCTGGTGATGGGTCTTGGGATGGGGAGGTTACTTCAGGCCAGGGTCCTTGGAGGGTGTGAGTTATCAGTAGGTCAGGGGTGAGTCATCAGTGAGAGCAGTGGTGGGATTCAGCTGGTTCGCACCAGTTCGACAGAACCAGTAGCTAATTTTTTATTGCTCAGGCCCAGAATGGGCTTCCGGAAGCGGCATCCACACAGAGAACCGGTGGTTCACATATTTGAATCCCACCACTGAGTGAGAGGCTGGTGATGGGTCTTGCGATGGGGAAATTACACCAGGTTAGAGTCATTGAAAGGTGAATTGCTGGTGGGAATGGGGGATTGTGTGGGATGGGTGAGGGTCGTGGGAGTGGGGGATTGCGCAGGATGGTTGAGGGTTGGTGCTGTCTCCAGTTGGCTGTGTGGTTGATTTGGATTCTGAGGGGTTTGTCGGCTGGTTGTAGATCAAAGAAACTGTGTTGTCCAAGGCAGAAGGTTAACAACTGGATTTGCAAAACTCGTTCACCCGTGTTCCCTAGGTGGGTTTTCCCTCTGGACACTCGGCCGTTCAATCGGCGAGCTCCTTCCAACCCAAGGATGCATTACTCACGAAGGCCGGTGGACTCCATCCGCGAGGCAGTGTTGACCGTGTCCCCGAAGAGACAGTAGCGTGGCATGGTCAGTCCCACCACGCCAGCCACGCAAGGCCCTGTCAAGAACATTAGACAAATTCAGTTCCTTAAACTTTGGGAGCAGGTTTCAACCGCTTTTCGGTACCCGTCTTATTTTTAAGGAAGGAAAAGGCAGAGAGCCACCAAAAAGGGGGCATTCTTCAGCCTTGCCGCGACATTCCCGATGACCTTACCAGAGTGCAGGCCGATGCGTATCCGGACAGGTACGTCTGGCATATGGCGCATCTTGAAAGTGCCAACGGCACTGAGGATATCGAGGGACATGTTGGCGATTTCACCCGCGTGTCGGTTCCCGTTCCGTTTCGGCAGCCCAGAAGCCACCATGTAGGCGTCGCCAATGGTCTCCACCTGTCAGTCAGAACAGGAGTGGTGAAAACAGCCGAAAGGTCTTGAAAAAGGGGACTGGGCTTAGCCCAGGAGATGGGAAGTGAGGCATCAAGCACTCGTAGTCAAAAATCACATTTAAGAGTTGAGCCACATTTTGGCATTTAGCGTAAAAATCAGGGGTAAAGTACTGGCTCTTGGAAACGGCATTAGTAACTTCCCAACCTCATTTATCAATGAGCTCAAGGTAGAGTCTCTCAGACTATTTAACAATTTCTTCCTGAGTTTGTTGTAGACAGAACAGAGCTGCTCTTTATGACCTAATCTCCAAACGAATTCTTCTCTTAACAAGAATTGAAAGGGACTTTGGAGGTCTTCTAGTCCAGCCCCCAAAGAGACCCTATACCATTTCAGACAAATGGTTGTCCAATCTCTCCTTAAAAACCTGCAGTGATGGAGCACCCACAACTTCTAGAGGCAAGCTGTTCCACTGATTAATTGTTCTCACTATCAGGAAATTCCTCCTTAATTCTAGGTTGCGTCTCTCCTTGATTAGTTTCCATCTGTTGCTTCTTGTCCTGCCTTCAGGTGCTTTGGAGAATAGCTTGACTCCCTCTTCTTTGGGGCAGCCCCTGAGATATTGGAAGACTGCTATTTGATTTAATTCGGTTTTATTGGGGGGGGAATGTATTTATGTTTTGTTTTAAATATGTTGTGCGCCGCCCTGAGTCCCATTGGGAGAAGGGCGGCATATAAATTAAATTAAATAAATAAAATAAATAAATAAAATAAATTCCCCCAGTCCTTCTTTTCATTAAACTAGACAAACCCAGTTCCCGTAACCGTTCTTTGTATGTTTTAGCCTCCAGCCCCCTCATCATCTTTGTTGCTCTTCTCTTCTCTTTTCCCTGTTGATTGTTTATATTTATTATTCCTCCCAGTTCTTGATCAACCTCTCCTAATCTCTCACGCTAGCAGAGATTGAATCTAAAAGAAGAGAGGTGTTTCAAACAAAAGCAACTTAGGTTGATATGCACCACAGCCCTTTTTTTTCCCTAAGGCAGTGGTTCTCAACCTTTTTAATGCCGTGACCCCAACCGGTCGTAAGTCGAGGACTAAACCGGTCGTAAGTCGAGGACTAAACCGGTCGTAAGTCGAGGACTACCCAACCGGTCGTACGTCGAGGACTTTCCTTGCCCGGGAGCGCCGCGCATGCGTGGTTCCGCCCCCTGCACCGGCCGAGGCGTAGCTGGCAAGCGGCAGAGACGGAGCAGGCCGACCACCAGCTGGCCCAGCCCAAGGGAGGTAAGGCACCCGCCAGAAAAGGGGGGAAAAAATGGCGGACAGCCTTGCTTGGCGACCCCCATGAAATGGTCGATCGACCCCAAATGGGGTCCCGACCCACAGGTTGAGAACCACTGCCCTAAGGTCCTCCAACTTTGTAGAAATCTAGTTCCCCAGGCCTATATCTTCGCTTCCAAGAAGCATCGACTCGCTGAAAAGCCAACAGGCAGAGAATATGATCTTTGTACGATGGCACCAAGCACCAAGGCCACCTATGGTAGTATCCTGTTCCTCCCCATCCCTGCCCCCACCAAGCTATCGCATTGCAATGAACAAGGACATCCATTCAATTTCGCAGCTATTCAGATTGTTGGATGAGCAGGGACAAAAACAGCCAGGGAAGTGATTGAAGCCTGGGAAAGTCAGTCAACAAGGAGTGCTAATTTACCATCAGCGTATCAAGTGCTTAGGAGGCGAGGGTGTGGCAGCACAAGGAAACAGCAACCAACGACTTAATAGCCAGCCTTCCATGCCCCAATCAACAACTAAGGAACCACACACAACAGGCGCCATATAAACACCACACACAGATTACCCCAGAACACACAATCTGAGATGTTTCCTGGAATTGGGCTCCAGTATGAGTCCAAAAGCTCGGAATAACTAAACCTCTGGATCCCGGTGACCGACTCAGATTGGATCCTGCAACATTATCCTGGGACACGGATATTCGCCTTCGTTCGCAAGCTATCTTCCGCCCATCACAATGATAACCAAGAAGACAGATCTATCTTTCACCTTGTAAACGTCATGGGAGCCAATGATGGCATCAAAGAGGGTGTACAGATCGTTGAGCAGGTCAACCACCTCAATGGGGTCACTCATGGCCGAGATGGTGGTGAAGCCCACAATGTCGCTGAAATATAAGGTCACCTCTTCGAAATATTCGGGCTCCACTGGCGCACCCGTCTTCAGGGCCTCGGCCACAGAACTGGAGAGATGACAAGCAGAAATGTCAATTGATGGGGCCGATCAGCTTGAAAATACCAAATAAATAATGCTGGGCAAATTTGCAAAAATATGGGGGTCTTGAAAAATGGGCTTGCTCAACCTATTCCCTCCCAAATTTGTTTGAATAAAGGGATTCTTAGCCAGCATATTAACTGAATCTTTCAATAGATAGTTAAGTTAAGTTAAGTTAAGTTAAGTTAAGTTAAGTTAAGTTAAGTTAAGTTAAGTTAAGTTAAGTTAAGTTAAGTTAAGTTAAGTTAAGTTAAGTTAAGTTAAGTTGTTATGTTAAGTTGTTAAATTAAGTTAAGTTAAGTTAATGATAGTAGTGTTCCAATATCTCAGGGGCTGCCACAAAGAAGAGGGAGTCAAGCTATTCTCCAAGGCGCCTGAAGGCAGGACGAGAAGCAACGGATGGAAACTCATCAAGGAGAGAAGCAACCTGGAATATAAGGAGAAACTTCCTGACAGTCAGAACAATTAACCAGTGGAACAACCTGCCTCCAGAAGCGGTGAATGCTCCAACACTGGAAGTTTTTAAGAAGAGACTGGACAGCCATTTGTCCGAAATGGTATAGGGTTTCCTGCCTGAGTAGGGGGTTGGACTAGATGACCTCCAAGGTCCCTTCCAACTTTATTATTATTATTATAAGTTAAGTTGTTGTTAAGTTAAGTTAAGTTAAGTTAAATTGTTAAGTTGTTGTTATGTTAAGTTAAGTTGTTGTTAAGTTAAGTTGTTATGTTAAGTTGTTAAGTTAAGTTAAGTTAAGTTGTTAAGTTTTTGTTAAGTTGTTAAGTTGTTGTTAAGTTAAGTTGTTAAGTTAAGTTAAGTGTTAAGTTGTTAAGTTAAGTTAAGTTGTTAAGTTGTTAAGTTAAGTTAAGTTGTTAAGTCACGTTAATTGTTAAGTTAAGTTGTTAAGTTGTTAAGTTAAGTTAAGTTAAGTTAAGTTAAGTTAAGTTAAGTTAAGTTAAGTTAAGTTAAGTTAAGTTAAGTTAAGTTAAGTTGTTAAGTTAAGTTAAGTTAAAGTTGGCAGAAAATCAATATCTGAATAACGGAATAACAGAGGTAAAAGAAACCTTAGAGGTCTTCTAGTCCAACCCATTGTTCAAGCAGAAGACCCCATATCATTTCAGACAAGTGGTTGACCTGTCTCTTCTTAAAAACCTCCAATGTTTGAGCACCCACAACCTCTAGAGGCAAGTGGTTCTACTGATTAATTGTTCTCGCTGTCAGGAAATTTCTCCTTAGTTCCAGATTGGTTCTCTGCTTGATCAGTTTCCATCCGTTGCTTCTTGTCCTGCCCTCTGGTGCTTTGGAGGATAGCTTGACTCCCTCTTCTTTGGGGCAGCCCCTGAGATACTGGAACACTGCTATCATGTCCCCCCTCATCCTTCTCTTCATTAAACTAGACATTCCCAATTCCAGCCACCGTTCCTTATATGTTTTAGCCTCCAGTCCCCTGATCCTCTTTGTTGCTCTTCTCTGCCCTCTTTCTAGAGTCTCAACATCTTTTTTGCAAATCGTGGCTTCTGTTCACATTCTGTGTCTGAATGCCCCTTTATTGCAAACATCCCCATGGCGTCTGAACCTCTTTCTACTTTAATTTGGATTCCTATTTGAACAGGGAGTTGGTCTCGGTGACCTAAATGGAACCTGGCAATTCTGGGGGTCTGGAAATCTGTAGGACTCTCCGCGAACTTCTTGACCTGGTCTCCACCTTCCCCACTGAAGGTCTTTTGGATTTGGAGAGACTCACGGGGGCAGCATCTGCGTCAGCAACTTGTCGGTCTTCTGCTTCTCGACTTCCAGCTCTTCGGTCCTCTCCCGGATCAAGTCTTCCAAGTTGCTGGAATATTGCTCCAGCATCCGTAGCATGGAGTCAATGATGTTGGTCTTCCTACCTTTGTTGATGCCCTTAAACTGGGGGAGAAGAACAGGAAGAGATGGAGAAACCCAGTCTGTTTTTATATCTCAGTATTAAATTATATACGTACTGTCGTGGTTCCGACAGATGAAACTCTTCGGAAGAACATTCGAGGCATTGTTCACCTTTGACACGTACTATATTTTTATGTATGAAAGGGAGGTTATAGAACAACAGAATAACAGAGTTGGAAGGGGCCTTGGAGGTCTTCTAGTCCAACCCCCAGCTCAAGCAGGAGAACCTATACCGTTTCAGACCAGGGACTGTCCAATCTCTTCTTGAAAGCCTCCAGTGATGGAGCGCCCACAACTTCTGGAGGCAAGTCGTTCCACTGGTTAATTGTCCTCGCTGTCAGGAAATTTCTCGTTGGTTCCAGGGTTGCTTCTCTCCTTGATGAGTTTCCATCCGTTGCTTCTGCTTTCAGCTGCTTTGGAGAAGAGATTGACACCCCCCCCTCTTCACTGCAGCAGTCCCTCCAGTATCAAATATTTAATATACAGCATATTTATTTAATATTTAAATATCTCTACATCTATCTATCTATCTATCTATCATTATCTATCTATCTATCTATCTATCTATCATCTATCATTATCTATCTATCTATCATTATCTATCTATCATTATCTATCTATCTATTATTTGTCTGTCTATCTCTATGATCTATCACTATCTAGCTATCTAGCTATCTGTATCTATCTATCTATCTATCTATCTATCTATACACTCTATCTATTTATCTAACCAACCAACCTACCTACCTATCCATCTATCTATCTATCTATCTATCATCTATCTATCATTATATCTATCTATCTATCTATCTATCTATCTATCTATCTATCTATCTATCTATCTATCTATCTATCTATCTATCTATCTATCTATACACTATCTATTTATCTAACCAACCTACCTACCTACCTACCCATCCATCCATCCATCCATCCATCTACCTACCTACCTACCTATCCATCCATCCATCCATCCATCCATCCCTCTATCTATCTATCTATCTATCTATCTATCTATCTATCTATCTATCTATCTATCTATCTATCTATCTATCTATCTATCTATCTATCTATCTATCTATCTATCATCTTGTCTAGTTTAATGAAAAGGACTGGGGGAACATGACAGCAGACTTCCAACAGTTGAGGGACTGTCACAGGGAAGAGGGGGGTCAACTTATTCTCCAAAGGGCCTGAAGGCAGGACAAGAAGCAACAGATGGAAACTCATCAAGGAGAGAAGCAACCTAGAACTAAGGAGAAACTTCCTGACAGCGAGGACAATTAACCAGTGGAACAGCTGGCCACCAGGTATTGTGGGCGCTCCAACACTGGAGGTTTTTAAGAAGAGATTGGACAGCCACTTGTCTGAAATGGTGTAGGATCTCCTGGCTGAGCAGGGGGTTGGACTAGAAGACCTCCAAGGTCCCTCTGTTAGTCTGTGTTCTGTCTCCTTCCCCTCTGGTCTCCTAGCCCCCATTCCTGGGCTCACATCACCTGATCAAAGACTTGATTGATGTTGGGTCTCCTTTCCGGCTGTTCACTCCAGCATTCCTTCATCAGCTGGATGCACTCCACCGGCGCTTGGTCGATGGAGACTGAGGGGCGGCAAAAAGGAGGGGGCTTCTTCACCTTCTTGATGATCTCTGCTTGGACAAAGACAAAATGCCCCAGAAGTTCTCGGCACAAATCCCATCATTCCCCTGGATAGCCCACCAAAGAAATAGCCCCAACCCATACTAGTGTGGGAAGAATCCAAAGAAAGAAATATTCTGGGGAAATATTAAAAAGGCAGAATATTATATTTCCCCCAAAGGATCTTAAAGGCAGAAACCAACCACACACACACACACACGTCTCTCTGCCCCAAACAGAAACCTGGTCTGCAGAAATGCAGGTGTGATAATCTTGTCAGAAAGATGGGAGCCAGGAAGCTGATGGGATTAGAAAGACAAAGATCCCTAGAGTCAACAATCCCTCACACCAAAAAATCCAACACAGGACATAGCCATCAGCCCCAGCCCCAGGGAAGCAGGATATGACCTTTGGGACACAATAGGATTAACCCACCACCATCAGAATACCAGAAAGGCAGACACAGACTCAGGTCCAAGTCCACGCCACAGGAACAACTCCAAACAAAAGCCCAAGAAGGTATAAAAACCCACCACTCCCTGCTACATGTGGCCGGTTTTTCCCAGAGCCATCTTGCTTGAGCAGGGGGCTGGACTAGAAGACCTCCAAGGTCCCTTCCAGCTCTATTCTATTCTGAATTCTGAATTCTGTCTGGCTCTCCTCTTCAATAAACTGCAACCTTCTTTCTAAAGCAGTCTCCATTTTGATTATTCCCAGCTTGGACTGGACCCTGATGAAAGATTTTTCTTCCAACAATAGGAACTGTGAAGGAACATAATATCTCTATTTCAGGTAGTCCTGGAATTACGACTATAATTGGGAGCGGAATTTAATCATTTAAAATTATTAAAGTTGCTGGTTGAAGGAGTCATTCTGCCATCTTTCGTGACTAAGGTGGGACTAGAACTCCCGGCCCAAAGTCACCCAGCTGATTGGCCCAAAGTCACCCAGCTGATTCTCATGCCTAAGGCGGGACTAGAACTCTCAGTCTCCTGGTGATTGGTCCAAAGTCACCCTGTCACCTTTGATGCCTAAGGCGGGACTAGAACTCCCAGTCTCCTGCTGATTGGTCCAAAGTCACCCAGCTAACTCTCATGCCTAAGGCAGGACTAGAACTCCCAGTCTCCTGGTGATTGGCCCAAAGTCACCCGGCTTATTCTCATGCCTAAGGCGGGACTAGAACTCCCAGTCTCCTGGTGGTTGGTCCAAAGTCACCCTGTCACCTTTGATGCCTAAGGCAGGACTAGAACTCCCAGTCTCCTGCTGATTGGTCCAAAGTCACCCAGCTAATTCTCATGCCTAAGGCGGGACTAGAACTCCCAGTCTCCTGGTGATTGGCCCAAAATCACCCAGCTGACTCTCCTGCCTAAGGCGGGACTAGAACTCCCGGCCTCCTGACGATTGGCTCAAAGTCACCCAGCTTTTGTGCCTCAGGCGCGTTCACAGCTTGCTTCTCTACGTGATCTCATATCTTAATAGGCAAAACGATTCCGGTGCAACGGAGTTACAGGGAAGAAAAATATCGATATTCGGCAGAGCACGAAGTTGGCACCCAAACCACGGTCCCCCTCCTGGTCTGGGACGTAGGCAGAAGGACCACCCTTAACCAGGAACGGAGCACCAAGCCAGAAGGACCAACGTTTGGTCTGGGTCCGAGCCAGCAGGTGGGGTTCCCACCTCGGTGAGGACCTGAGCGATGGGCCAACTGGGTCTTCTGACTCCAACCCCCTCCCCGAACCACAACCGGCCTTCTCTTCCTCGCTCCCCTCTCGGTACCTTCCGGGCTCATCTCCAGCATGCAGTAAGGCGCCGCGCGGCAGATGACTTCTTGAATAATGATGGAGATACTATAAATGTCTCCCCGGAAGGTGCCTTTCCGTTCCAGCGCCGGGTTCCTCAACAATTCCGGCGCCGTCCAGAAACGGTCTGGTGGAATAAAATTGGGGGTGGGTGGGCTAGAACAGGGCTTTTCAACCTTTTCACCCATTGTACCACTTTTAGGATAGGGCAACATCCGAGAACCACCAGTCGCCTAGCAAGGTGTCAAAAACTTGATGACCCAAAAAAAAAAAAAGGAAAAAAGTGATAAAGTACAGGTAGTCCTCGACTTACAACAGTTCGCTTAGTGACTGTTTGAAGTTGCAATGACCCTGAAAAAAGGGCCCCCCAAGCCACAGCCGAGCAAGACACCTGCCTGCCCGCCCGACGGCGCTCTTCCTCCTGTCCGAGGTTTTCATTGTTGTGAGCATTTCTGTTGGGGATTGGCAGCGGGGGTGGGGTGGTGGGTGTTTGGTTTTTATTCCCCCCGTCTGCTGGGTGGTTGCAGCAGGTTTTAGTCACTTCACAAGACCCTGGGACACTGTGACCGTCATAAATATGAATCGGTTGCCAAGCATCTGAATGTAAATCACAAGACCCTGGAGATGCTGCAACATTCCAGCTGATCTGCGCTTCTTCTGGGTTCAGCAGAAGTGCCAGGATCAGCGCCGAGCTCCAGCTGGAGCCTGGCGCTGATCCTGGCGCTTCCGCTGAGCCCTGACAGCCCTGAAGAAGCGCCAATCAGCTGGAAAGCGGCACTGATCTTGACGCTTCCACTGAGCCCTGACAGCCCCAAAGAAGCGCTGGTCCTGGTGCTTCCGCTGAGCCCTGACAGCCCTGCAGCTCCAGCCGTCTCTCGCTCAGGCTTGTGCGGTGCTGCCACCGGTTCAGCTCATTCCCCTCCACCGCTACCACTTTTCTAGGATGCTCGCGTACCACCTGCCAGGTGCCCATGTACCACAGGTAGTACCCGTACCACTGGTTGAAAAGCCCTGGACTAGATGACCTCCGAGGTCCCTTCCCGCTCTGTTAATCTATTCATTCTGTTCTAAATGCAAACCGGAAACATTGAGGACTACAGGAACCATCTGGGCTTCAGTTTGGGATGCAGACAACCCAGAAACTCATCCCCAACAGCCTTGCGCCCGTCTTCAACAGGGGAGGGACCCAGGGCAGAAGACATCCTGCAGCCAAGATGGCTCCACACCCATTTGCACCGCTCAGGTGACCCTGAGGACGCAGGTAAACCTCCAAGTGGCCTCAACGGCTCTCTAAAAGAAGGCAAAGGACCAGCTGTCGGGTAGGAGTATAAATCCTTCCACTCCCCACCCTTCAGTCAGAGCTGAAGAAGCTTCTGGGATGGGAAGCGAAACGTCTTCCAAGAAGAAAAAGGAAGTCCAGTTGCTTCCTGGAAAAAGCACCTTTGGGACAACCACGACCTGGATAACTGAGAATCTCCGTAGACATTTAGGACAGGGATAGGCAACCTTGGCTCTTTTATGACTCGTGGACTTCAACTCCCAGAATTCCTGAGCCAGCATGGGGGAACTATGGCCCCCTTTATGACTTGTGGACTTCAACTCCCAGAATTCCCCAGCCAGCGTGAGGGAACTATGGCCCTTTTATGACTTGTGGACTTCAACTCCCAGAATTCCTGAGCCAATAAGGGGGAACTATGGCTCCCTTATGACTCGTGGACTTCAACTCCCAGAATTCCCAAGCCAGCCTGGCTCAGCTTGGAAACCTCTCCCTTTCCCCTCAGCGTGGCTGGCTCAGGAATTCTGGGAGTTGAAGTCCACGAGTCATAAAAGAGCCACGGTTGTCTACCCCGATTTAGGACTTCAGTTTCTTTTTTTCAGTGCTGTCGCCACTTTGAACGGTCACCAAATGAATTGTTGAAAGTCGAGGATCACCTATATGTCCTAGACTTTTTATCAGCCCACCTAAATTCCCTTCTCGCTCCCATCTTTCCCTACTGACCCTCAGGCTTCATCGGATCCCGGGTCACTTTCTGAGCCTCCAACAATTCGTTGTATCCGTGATCCGAGACTTTCAGGACAAAACGGCCGTCCACCACGCAGTTCCGAGACTTCAGCCGGCCGTGAGGGAATTCCTGATGGTGCAAATACTTCATTCCCTGGAGGAGGAGGGGGGAGAAAAGAAGAGGAGGTGAGCAGGTCTGGCCCACGTCGCAATGTGGGTAAGTCCTCGTTGAGCGACCACAGTTAGCACCAGCAATTTAGTCACCAAGCAAAGCAAAACCGGGATTCTGCTTACGGTGGTTTAGCTCTCCTTTGGTTTTCGGGCCCGTGAAGGTTATGAAAACACAGGTCGTCCTCGACTTACATCCACAATCGAGCTCAAAGTTTATGTCGCTAAGCGAGACATTTGTTAAGTGAGTTTTTCCCTATTTTACGACTTTTCTTGTTGCGGTTGTTAAACGAATCGCTGCAGTTGTTAGTAACCTGGTTGTTCAGTGGTTCTGGCTTCCCCCATTGACTTTGCTTGCCAGAAGGTCGCAAAAGGGGATCACGTGACTCCGGGACACTGCGACCGCCATAAGTATGAAACCAGTGGCCAAGCATCTGAATATTGGTCCCATGACCATGGGGATGCTGCAACGGTCGTAAATGTGAAAACCGGTCATAAGTCTTTTTTTTTTCAGTGCCGTTGTAACTTTGAATGGTCATTAAATGAACTGCTATAAGTTTCTCCTGCTTGAGCAGGGGGCTGGACTAGAAGACCTCCGAGGTCCCTTCCAGCTCTATTCTATTCTATTCTATTCTATTCTATTCCATATTTTCTGTTTCTGTTCTATTCTGTAATTCTATTCTATTCTATTCTTATTCTTATTCTTATTCTATTTTTATGTTATTGTATTGTATTGTATTGTATTGTATTCTTTTTGTATTTTATTATTCTATTCTATTCTATTCCATTCTATTCTATTCTGTATTTTATTATTCTATTCTATTCTATTCTATTCTATTCTATTCTATTCTATTCTATTCTATTCTATTCTATTCTATTCCATTCTGTATTTTATTATTCTATTCTATTCTATTCTATTCTATTCTATTGTTCTGTTCTGTTCTGTTCTGTTTTGTTCTATTCTATTCTGTTCTATTCTATTTTTATTCTTATTCTATTTTTATGTTATTGTATTGTATTCTATTCTATTCTATTCTATTCTATTCTATTCTGTATTTTATTATTCTATTCTATTCTTATTCTTATTCTATTTTTATGTTATTCTATTGTATTCTATTCTATTCTAAGTCGACTACCTCTGTGAGGATTGGTTCTGAAGTTACTTTATCAGGACCACTGTAACTATGAACAGTCACTGAACGAGGCACTCACTAAATGAGGACTACATGTTCTTTCTGATCAGGGCGATCTGTACAATTATATGAAGACACTATGCCATCATAAACTCGGGAATAAAACATTCTGATCATCCTAAAAAAATATTTTTAACTATCAGTGGGTTTTCCTACACGTTCTCCCTCTTAGAACCATGTTTGATCATGATAGGCAGATCTCTCCATGTCTGAAACCTTGAATTTGTTTCTTAAGAGCTTCAGATGCTCACAGGTCCTGATTGATGGTGGTTGAAAGCAAGAACTGAGAACTTTCTACAAGTCCTCCGGAAGCTACTGCAGGAAAGATCTGCAAATTCTCTGGCTGGGCCATCCTTGATGGTCCCAAAGTTGTCCATCTCTACCAACTTTGAGGGCCACCAACTTCTTCAAGTCCTCCAGAAGCTACTGCAGGAGAGATCTGCAAATTCTCTGGCTGGACCATCCTTGATAGTCCCAAAGTTCTCCATCTCTACCAACTTTGAGGGCCACCAACTTCTTCAAGTCCTCCAGAAGCTACTGCAGGAGAGATCTGCAAATTCTCTGGCTGGGCCATCCTTGATGGTCCCAAAGTTGTCCATCTCTACCAACCTTGAGGGCCACCAACTTCTTCAAGTCCTCCACTAGCTACTGTAGGAACCATCTGCGAATTCTCTAGCTGGGCCATCCTTAATGGTCCCAAAGTTGTCCATCTCTACCAACTTTGAGGGCCACCAACTTCTTCAAGTCCTCCAGAAGCTACTGCAGGAAAGATCTGCGAATTCTCTGGCTGGGCCATCCTTGATGGTCCCAAAGTTGTCCATCTCTACCAACTTTGAGGGCCANCATCCATAATGGTCCCAAAGTTGTCCATCTCTACCAACTTTGAGGGCCACCAACTTCTTCAAGTCTTCAAGTCCTCCGGAAGCTACTGCAGGAAAGATCTGCACATTCTCTGGCTGGGCCATCCTTGATGGTCCCAAAGTTGTCCATCTCTACCAACTTTGAGGGCCACCAACTTCTTCAAGTCCTCCAGAAGCTACTGCAGGAAAGACCTGCACATTCTCTCGCTGGGCCATCCTTGATGGTCCCAAAGTTGTCCATCTCTACCAACTTTGAGGGCCACCAACCCTTTTCTCAACGCGAGTGACTATTCCTCATCCCAGCCTCATGTTTTTCCTAAACTGGATGTCAGGACAACTAGATCTCTTTCCCGGGCACCTTGATAAGGTCCAGCAGCAAGGAGGATTTGAACATCCAGTCCAGTTTCATGTCCTCATTACGGAGAAGGTCCTCGAGGCTCCCGCGGGCGCAGTGCTCTGAGACGACAGCAAAAATCCCAGCGTCATGGAAGAAGCCTATAAAAAGGTTTAGGTTTTCGTGTCTCAGGTCCCGCAGCTGAACATGGGGAAAAACAAAAGGGAATAAGAAGTGAGAGTCCTCCAGCACCCAGGATGGTGGGAATGGCTAGAAATGTTTCCTGTAGAAGTCCTTCTCTGTCTTAAGGCCCCACATGCTTCTAACTACCATTGTAGATCTTCTCCGTCTTAAGTTCCCACGTGCTTCTAACTACCATTGTAGATCTTCTCTGTCTTAAGTTCCCACGTGCTTCTAACTACCATTGTAGATCTTCTCTGTCTTAAGTTCCCACGTGCTTCTAACTACCATTGTAGATCTTCTCTGTCTTAAGTTCCCAAGTGCTTCTAACTACCATTGTAGAAGACCATCTTCTCTGTCTTAAGTTCCCACGTGCTTCTAACTACCATTGTAGAAGACCTTCTTCACTATCTTAAGTCCCAACATGCTTCTAACTACCATTGTAGAAAACCTTCTTCTCTGTTGAGCGTTTGGAAAAAGTTCAGAGAAGAGCAACTAAGAGGATCCAAGGCCTACCCATTTTGGGAAGAAAGCTCTTCAAGAACTCACCTTGCAAAAAACTTTTTCCGTGGTTGGTTTGATTTCCATGCTCTTTCCTCCGGGGAATCTTTTCAGCCACACCCAGTCACCCTAAAGGTGGGGGAGGGGGGGCGACAAGGAAGGGCATACATGGTGACTCTCAACCGTTTTGAGGGCTTAAAAAAAGCAGGAAGGAAGGGAGACCCCTGCCCCGTGTCAATCCAAGCTGATGGGTTAGGCCAGAGGTCCCCAACCTATGGGCCGCGGTGCTCTACCTGGCTGTGGAATCTTGGCTGCCAGGCCACGTGGGTAGCTGGGCAGTGCACGCGCGGGTGTGCGTGCTCACCCCTCCCTCGTGCCACCCTTGCCGTGAGTGTTGTGCAGGCGGTGGCAGTGCTGCTAGTATCATTGTTGCCGTGAACCTTCCGTGGGGGGCAGCAATGCCATGAGCAGTAGGTGGGCCACACCATGATCCTCGTAGGGGGCAGCGGCGCGAGCCTTGTGCCGGGGTGGCATCGCTGCAGGCCGCAGCGCAGTCCTTGCGTGGGGCGGTGGCACAAACCTCGCGCCGGAGCGGTGGCACGAACCTCACACCGGGGTGGCATCACTGCGGGCCGCAACATGAGCCTCGTGCTGGTGGTAGCATTGCCACGAGCCTGGCGGCAGTGGCACCACAAGCCTCACACAGTTGCTGGCATTACTGAGAGTCTCATGTGCATGCTCGCAGCCGTTTGCGTAGTGCACATGCTCGCAGCCCCGTTTGCGTGGTGCGCATGCTCGCACCCTGTTTGTACGTGCACGCATGGCTGCATTCACGTTTGTGCATGCAGGTGTAAGGCGCCTGCCCCTCCCTCTCCCACCGGGCTGCCAATCCAAAAAGGTTGGTGACCTCTGGGTTAGGGTAACCAAGTGGTTTCGTAAAGATGTTAGACTTTACGATGTTAGACTTTACGACGTTAGATTGCCCTTGGACAATCCACAGTGGACAAATCAACAAAGTCTCAAACCCAAATCCTTCATGACTTTCCCATGAAAGATGATGACCTCAGGAGTTGATCCTTCTTCTTGATGTTCCACAGTTGATGTTCAGGTCGACCTTGCCCCACCATATTCTTTGGATGGGGGGCTCCAACCTTTGCAGGAAACAGCTTTACATCTGAGGTCCCTACTGTAGGGCCTCCACTCCCACCACCCAATACTGAAAGAATTTGGGACCAGACACGACGCAGGAAGGAATATGTCTTCACCTCAAACACAGCTATGTTGTTCTCCTGATCCGCCCCATTTTTCAAGCTTTTCTTCTCCGAGCAATTTCCCCCAGGACTGTCATCCATCTTCTAGGGAGAAAGGAGACAAGTTAGGATAAACTAAAGAACGCTCTGAAATAATATTATTCAGCAACCGTTAAGAACAAGACAGGTGGACATAACCTTGGGTAGATACATCTACATTTTGATGGTCCCAAAGAACAAGAAAAGTGGACATAACCTTGGGTAGATACATCTACATCTTGATGGTCCCAAAGAACAAGAAAAGTGGATGTAATCTTGGGTAGATACTGTACATCTACATCTTGATGGTCCCAAAGAACAAGAAAAGTGGACATAACCTTGGGTAGATACATCTACATCTTGATGGTCCCAAAGAACAAGAAAAGTGGGTGCAACCTTGGGTAGATACATCTACATCTTGATGGTCCCAAAGAACAAGAAAAGTAGACGTAACCTTGGGTAGATACATCTACATCTTGATGGTCCCAAAGAACAAGAAAAGTAGACGTAACCTTGGGTAGATACATCTACATCTTGATGGTTCCAAACAACAAGAAAAGTAGATGTAACCTTGGGTAGATACATCTACATCTTGATGGTCCCCAAAAACAAGAAAAGTGGACGTAAACTTGGGAACATACATCTACATCTTGGTGGTCCCAAACAACAAGAAAAGTGGACGTAAACTTGGGAACATAAATCTACATCTTGATGGTTCCAAACAACAAGAAAAGTGGACGTAAACTTGGGAACATAAATCTACATCTTGGTGGTCCCAAACAACAAGAAAAGTGGACGTAAACTTGGGAACATAAATCTACATCTTGATGGTTCCAAACAACAAGAAAAGTGGACGTAAACTTGGGAACATAAATCTACATCTCGATGGTCCCAAAGAACAAGAAAAGCAGATGTAAACTTGGGAACATAAATCTACATCTTGATGGTTCCAAACAACAAGAAAAGTGGACGTAAACTTGGGAACATAAATCTACATCTCTATGGTCCCAAAGAACAAGAAAAGCAGATGTAAACTTGGGTAGATACATCTACATCTTGATGGTCCCAAAAAACAAGAAAAGTGGACGTAACCTCGGGTAGATGCATCTACATCTTGATGGTCCCAAAGAACAAGAAAAGCAGATGTAACCTTGGGTAGATACATCTACATCTGGATGGTCGCAAAGTTGGCCATCTCTACCAGCTTTGCAAGGCCAGCGACAGTGGTCTTTTGACACCACCTCTTTGCTTGCGTTGATCTGCGTCGGTCATTATTCGCTCAGCCCGGTCTCTGATTTTGGAGTGCTTTACTCAATAATCACAACTTCCTATCGCCGTGGGGTTGTGTTCTTCTCAAGGTTATCGCGTAAAAACTTGCTTACCTTCCCGCCGTTTGGGAGATCGATGAAGGTCAGGTCCTCCGCAGTCAGGGCAATTTTGTTGGGTCCCTTCGTGAGATTGGCATGCTGAAGTTGGCACCTGTGAAAAGCGAGGCGAGACATTAAAAATATCGGAAATGAAAAACGCTCGCCCGTCACCGAAGCAGGGAGGGGCAGACAACTTCCTGTATGACTCCCAAACGCCATTCTGGAGTGGGGACTTGTAAGAGGATCACATGAAACTCACCGGAGATAGTAAGCCAGAACAGATCCACCCAGGAGCAAGAGAGTAACAATGAGGAAGAGGAGGAAAACAAAACCGACACCCACGCCTGGAAGGAGGAAGAGGAAAAAAACACTCATTTTCTTTGGACTGAGGTCCACCAGGATTAAGACAAGTGGATGTCCAGTTTCCTCTTAAAAACCTCCAATGTTGGAGCACCCACCACTTCTGGTGGCAAGCTGTTCCGCTGGTTAATTGTTCTCACCGTTGGGAAGTTTCTCCTTGATTCCAGGTTGCTTCTCGCCTTGAGTTCGAACTACTCTATTGTTCCAAGCCTACTTTACAGGAACCTCCCCAGATTGGCTGCTTTTGCCTGTGAAAGGCTACACAGGGCTAAAGGCATTTCAGGGCAGTCACACAGAACTTACACTGAATTAACAGAGTTAATGGTCTGAAATGGTCTAGGGTCTCTTGCTTAACCAGGGGGCTGGACTAGAGGACCTCCAAGATCCCTTTCAGTTCTAGTCTGATTCCGATTCTGACCTTTTCGGTAGATCTGACCTATCCAGTCTGACATGGCTTCCACACTTACCCCCGGCGCAAATGGTGCCGCGGTTGAACCAACAGCTGGAGTCCGAAGCTGGCTTGGTGTTGTCAGGCCAATGGACGCCCCGTCCGGTGAAACGCAGGATCCCGGCGGCCAGGTCGACTTTGTAAACGGGGTGAAGGCGGCTGCCCCTTCCATCCGTGTCCAGGATGACGTAAGGCACCTCGGCCCCTCCGTTTTGGTCCGCTGACACCGGCTGGCTAAACCCTTCCAGCTCAAAGTCCTTGGCGTGTTCAGCAATGGTGGTGCCCGCCACCCTCTTCCCGGAGAGGCGGGCGTTTTCCACGGCCTTGGCTAGGAAGTAGACGGCGTTAAAAATGGTGCCGAACAAAGGATGGGCCTGCAAGGAGGAGGAAAAAAGGACAGATTGCACCTTCTACACCGTACTTTTGTCTACATTCGGTCCGTTTCCATCCGTTATTCCCGGTCTGGCCTTCAGGCGCTTTGGAAAGTTGCGCCAGCAACTGTGAGAGGGATCTTGGGAGTCTTAGTGGACAATCAATTAAATATGGGTCAACAGTGTGCAGTGGCAGCCCAAAAAGCCGATGCAATCCTCCTCCTCCTCCTCCTCCTCCTCCTCCTCCTCCTCACCACCACCACCACTCCCTTCTAGCACTGATGATGTTCCCTAGTTGGGTCATGAAACATCTGCAAGAAAATCACCCATCTCAGAGAGCACCAAGGACCCCACTGCAAATAGGCTATCATAAATAGGCACTAGAATTGCCTATTGTACGTAGAAATGCTGGCTTCTCCAGGAGAGAAGACACATCACATAGTAAAAGTGTTAATGCCACTTTACAAGGCATTGGTAAGGCCACACTTGGAATCCTGCATCCAGTTTTGGTCACCCCGATGTAAAAAAGATGCTGAGACTCTGGAAAGAGTGCAGAGAAGAGCAACAAAGATGATTAGGGGACTGGAGGCTAAAACATACAAGGAACAGTTGCTGGAATTGGGGATGTCTAGTTTAATGAAGAGAAGGACGAGGGGGGACAGGATAGCCGTGTTCCAGTATCTCAGGGGCTGCCCCAAAGAAGAGGGAGTCAAGCTATTCTCCAAAACGCCTGAAGGCAGGACAAGAAGCAACAGATGGAAACTGATCAAGGAGAGAAGCAACCTAGAACTAAGGAGAAACTTCCTGACAGTGAGAACAATTAACCAGTGGAACTACCTGCCTCCAGAAGTGGTGAATGCTCCAACACTGGAGGTTTTTAAGAAGAGACTGGACGGCCATTTGTCTGAAACGGGATAGGGTTTCCTGCCTGAGCAGGGGGTTGGACTAGATGATCTCCAATGTCCCTTCCAACTCTGTTATTCTGTTATTATTTTTTCCTTCCTTCCTTCCTTCCTTCCTTCCTTCCTTCCTTCCTTCCTTCCTTTCCTCCCTCCCTCCCTCCCTCCCTCCCTCCCTCCCTCTGTCTTTTTCTCCACAATTGGGGCTCAATTCTGGTCCTAAGTCAAGGACTACCTGTATGACCCTTATTCCCACCACCCCAGCCCCACTTCCTCCCAACTCAGGCACCACCTTCTCCACGCTGAGCTGTCCGGGGATCTCTCTCCTCTTCTGAGCCTCCTCAAAGGCCTGCCGGAAGGAATACTCCGGCGAGTCTACGGTGATGGTCAGCACGGCATCGTACGCCCAGCGTAATTTGACGTTGTCCTCCAGCACCGCGTAGGCCTCCTCCTGGTAGGGCATGCTGTAGGTCAGGGCATCGTAGGGGATGAAGATGTAACTCCCTCTGGTCAGGCCCGTCTCTTCGGCCTTCTCCAACAGGAGGCGCTGCTCTTCCCCACCCAACAGGACGGAGTGCATGCACATGATGACCGCTGCGTAGGGAAGGGAGAGGAGGGATGGTGGAGGAGGAGGAGGAGAAGGAAGAAAAAGGTGGAAGGGGAGGAGGAGGAGGAGGAGGAGGAATGGGAGAAGAAGAAGAAGAAGAAGAAGAAGAAGAAGAAGAAGAAGAAGAAGAAGAAGAAGAAGAAGAAGAAGAAGAAGAAGAAGAAGAAGAAGAAGAAGAAGAAGAAGAAGAAGAAGAAGAAGAAGAAGAAGAAGAAGAAGAAGAAGAAGGGGGAGGGGGGAGGGGGAGGAGGAGACATGAAGGAGGAGGAGGAGGAGAAGGAGAAGGCATGAAGATGGAGGAAGAGTGCAGAACACAGAATCCTGGTTTGAACATCACTGAGATATAATATTAGGACCATCTTAATAGCAAGCCAGGTTAGCAATGAAACTATGGAACCAGAATGGGGTGATAGTAAGCCTTTGTTGATAGAGTTGAGATGTTGGCTGTTCAACCATGTCTTGGAGATAGGTTCTCCTGACCGAGAAAGAAGCTGCATAAACACGTGGCTGAGTCACATGGCATGCTCCTTGTCATATAAACCAACATTTATAGAGTCCCAGAGTTAGACAGGAGCTCTGCAGCCACCAAGTTCAACCCCATCGATCCCGAAACTCAAATCCCAGGTTCGTTATATCTTTGAAGGCTTCCAACCCAGGGGAAGGAACCACTTCCTGGGTCAGTTGATGCCACTGTCCAATTTCTCCTACTAAGGAGAAGGTCTTTTTCCCTCATGTTCTCCTAGAATCAACTTTCACGTAGCTTTGGATCGAGGAAAAGAGGGTTTCCATTTTCTTTCTGTGATAGTTTGGGGAGTCAATGAGAAGCTGGAATCGTCCAAACCAATCCAGAATTGAAGAAACCATCATGATGAGCTTATTTACCTCAGAAAAAAGAATGGAAAGTAGGTTTCCATCTTCTGTCTGTGATCATTTTTTGAGTAAATGAGGAGCCCGATCCATCTAAGTTAAGCGAGAATTGAAGAAACCATCATGATGAGCTTCTTTACCTCAGAAGAAAGAATGGAAAGTAGGTTTCCATCTTCTGTCTGTGATCATTTTTTGAGTAAATGAGGAGCCCGATCCATCTAAGTTAAGCCAGAAGTGAAGAAACCATCATGATGAGCTTCTTTACCTCAGAAGAAAGAATGGAAAGTAGGTTTCCATCTTCTGTCTGTGATCATTTTTTGAGTAAATGAGGAGCCCGATCCATCTAAGTTAAGCGAGAATTGAAGAAACCATCATGAGGAGCTTCTTTACCTCAGAAGAAAGAATGGAAAGTAGGTTTCCAACTTCTGTCTGTGATCATTTTTTGAGTAAATGAGCTCGATCCATCTAAGTCAAGCCAGAATTGAAGAAACCATCATGAGGCGCTTCTTCACCTCAGAAGGAACCATAAGGTGACCTTCTCGTAAGACAGACTCCATATCTTTCAAACCTAGGGTTTAACACACCTATGTTAGATCTCTCCTGAGGAACATCCGCCCATCGCAACCATACCTCGTACGTTGTTCGCCTTCTTGATCTTTCGAAGAGCATCCTCCACCCCGCTCGGTTCATCTTCCATGGTGGTCATCACCGTGACGGGCAGGCCAAAGTTCCTCAGTGAGTCAGCCAGGCTTTGTCCCACTTGGACCCAGAGATCTTCCTTCGAGGTGATCACGGCGACGTGAGCCCACTGGAAGTGCTTAAGTACAGTGTAGAGGACAGCGGAGGCCTGCGGTAAGGGCCGCGCAAAAGTCCCGAAACGTCCCACCTCGGCGTCATCCGTCAAGCAAGCCCAGGAGAAGATGGGCTTGTTCCAAGTTTTGCCCAGCATCCCAGCGGCCTGGCAGACCGTTGGGTTAACCGGACCGACGAAACCAGAGGCGTAGTATTCTGCGTTGACTAAGCCCGTGAGCGCCTTGGAGGTCTGGCAGTCTTCGTTGAGGAGGATGTAATCGAACCAGTATCCCTTGTTTAAGGTTGGGTCCTGGTTGATCCGACGCACGGCCAACTTGGCGGCTGCCTCGGGGTAGGCTCGGGCGTAGATGGAGTCACACTTCCAGGGACCTATCACGCCGACTTTGAAGGTCGTGGCGTGGACGCTGAGAGGAAGGCGAAGAAGCAGAGGCCAGACAAGAAGGGACCACCAAGGGGGTCCTCTACAGTAGGTCCACCTCGGATGGTTGGAGAGCCAAAGCAGGAAGCCCAACCAAACCCGTGTCATGCTGTGCCGGTGATCTTCAGAAACGATCTGGTGGAGAGGCAAGGAAGGGGAAAGGAAGAAGGCACAACTTCAGCTCCTCAGGGACCAAGTCCAGAAATCTTTGGGCCCATCTCCTGCCATCCACTTGATCAAGGGTTGCTCTTCACTGTCCCTAGACGGAGAGAGGAAGGAAGGAAGGAAGGAAGGAAGGAAGGAAGGAAGGAAGGAAGGAAGGAAGGAAGGAAGGAAGGAAGGAAAAAAGGGAAGAACGAAGGAGGAGAAGAAAGAGAAGAAGAACATCAGAGCAGGCTGGAGAAGAATTCAGAATCCCTCCCGTTGTTGGGGTTTTTTTCCCCCCTACAATTTCCAACTAATTTGATTATATTGGAAAAGAGGATTTTACTTACAGGTAGAGGGGCGGAATGAAAATAGGTCAGATACGCACGTACAACTGCCGTTACTCACCATCTCGGTGAGGACCCGGAATTTGGGTTATCGGTAGACGAGAAGACATATCAAAACTGTAGCGTTAGCTCCATAATAGGCACAACGCAACCCCCCAACACGATGCTTCTCCCAAAGGTTGAGCCTCAACTACTCAAGGGCTCCACTCCTGCTTTGAATGTTCCCTTAATTTAATGGCTAACTCAACAGTCTTGACATTTGAAAGCTATAGTAGATGGGGTGACACAGAGGACTGGTCCAAAGGAAAAAAAATGTATATTTAGGCCAGCTCAGGTATGTGTCGTTTTTCCTTTTGGATCGTCCGATCAGATCACAGCTTCCTTGGAGGGGTGATGGGGTCACCATCCGTCCTTCACGACAGAACAACCAAGCTCAGAGAGCACCCCACAGTTTTCCTCCTCCTCCTCTTCCTCCTCCTCCTCCTCCTCCTCCTCCTCCTCCTCC